CTGCTCTTCAAACTCTTCTCCAGAAAGCCTTCTCTCTGAATTGGAATGTGTGTGTGTGGTGACTGGTGTCAGGACACAGAAGCGTGCAATTACAAGCACCTGCAGCCATGCCCTCTTCGTTAGGTAGAAGCATCCTGGAGTCACTGGCAACTGACACATTTCCAGTCCCCCCACCCCCCCCCATCCCCCCCCCCCCCACTGGCAAACATGCGCACTTTCCAGGTCTGCACGCCACACACACTCTCTCTTTCCAAGAAGAATGTATGTATGGTGTGGCATGCAGGCCTGGAAAGCATGTGCGTCTGCCAGTGACTCCAACCGAGCGCCTCCTCTAGAGTAGAAATAGCAGGTAAGAAGCCTCCTTAAAGTGTGCATCAGGAAGGGGAGCCTGGGTAGGAAGCCCCTCTCCCCATAATGGTCTGATAGAAATTGATCTTTCAGGCCCCAAACAGAAAACAGGTATCTGCCCTCCCAATTTCAGGAAGTTCCCAAAAAAACAGATCGGGGGCCCCACCAAAAGCTGGAACACGAAACGGGTCAATGTTTATCCTAAATGCACAACTCTGTCAGATAATCCAGTTCAAAGCAGATATTGTGGATTTTCTCCCTTGATATTCTGAGTTATATGGCTGTGTGGCAGGGCCCTCCCTTGACAATATATTACCCTTCTTAATTTTCTTCTAAATCTAGTCAAGAACTGACCTCTAGTGGCTGAAGAGGTAAAGGAAGTGCATTATTTACTTAGTTCTCCACTTTTAACAAATCATGGCTAACCCTTTAAGAGTTTATATAGCTTGTCACCTGTCACACCCAGCACTTTTAATCTATACCCTTACTTTGGCCCAGCCCTGTTTTAAGGAGTCATGGTGTATTGTTTTGTTGTTTTACTGTTATTGCTTCAATGTTTTTGATTTGCTTTGAATTGTATTTGGTTTTGGTGCAATGTCTGTTGTTATTGTGTTGAGGCCTTGGCCTTTGTTAGCCGCAACGAGTCCTTCGGGAGATGCTAGCGGGGTACAAATAAAGTTAATAATAATAATAATAATAATAATAATAATAATAATGAGAGAGAATTTCTCCAAATGAAGCAGAGAGTGTTTGAGGATTGAGACATCCGTAGGGATACCAAGGTGATTGTTTATAAAGCTATTGTCTTCTCAACCTTGCTATACACCACTGAGACATGGACTATCTACAGACATCCCATGCAACTCCTAGAACGATTCCATCAGCGTTGCCTCCAAAAAATCCTGCAAATCTCTTGGGAAGACAAGCGGACAAATGTCAGCGTGCTGGAAGAAGCAAGGACCACCAGCATCGAAGCAATGGTCCTCCGCCATCAACTCTGCTGGACCAGCCACATTGTCCGGATTCTTGACCACCGTCTCCCAAAGCTATTGCTCTACTCCAAACTGAAGAACAAAAACCGGAATGTTGGTGGGCAGGAAAAGAGATAAAGATGGGCTCAAAGCCAACCTTAAAAACTCTGGCATAGACACTGAGAACTGGGAAGCCCTGGCCCTTGAGCGCTCCAGCTGGAGGTCAGCTGTGACCAGCAGTGCTGCAGAATTTGAACAGGCACGAATGAAGGGCGAAAGAGAGAAACATGTCAAGAGGAAGGCACGTCAAGCCAACCCCGACCGGGACCGCCTCTCACCTGGAAACCAATGCCCTCTCTGCGGGAGAAGATGCAGGTCAAGAATAGGGCTCCACAGTCACCTACGGACCCACCACCAGGACACTGAACTTGGGGGGCAATCCTACTCAGACAGCGAGGGATGGCCTAAGTAAAGTAAAGTAAAGTAAGTTTAGTATTTCTTAACCTTTTAGCTAAAATTATGGATGGATATCTATATAAATAAAAATGTAATGTTCGTTTGTGGGATTAACATAACTCAAAAACCACTGGACGAATTGACACCAAATTTGGACACAATACAGCTATCAGGCCAATGAGTGACCATCAGTCATAAAAACAGAGAAAAACACAGTTGAAGAGACTTAAAAAGCCAAAAAATAAAAAATACATTACAACGCATGCACAAAACCACATATATATACACATATACACAAATATATACACACATATATACACACGCAAAACACATATACACAGAATGGGCCACAGCAACTCGTGGCAGGGGACGGCCAGTTTTATTTTATAAAATCATATTATATTATAAATCACACATAATATAAATATGTATATTATATTATAATATATATTGTATTATATTATATATAAATTATATAGATTTATAATATTATATATAATATTATAAATCACACGTAATATAAATATGTATAGTGTCAGAATAAGGGTCAGACTGATACATCTGGAATATTGTGTCCAATTCTGGGCACCACAATTCAAGAGATATTGACAAGCTGGAATGTGTCCAGAGGAGGGCGACTAAAATGATCAAGGGTCTGGAGAACAAGCCCTATGAGGAGCGGCTTAAGGAGCTGGGCATGTTTAGCCTGAAGAAGAGAAGGCTGAGAGGAGATATGATAGCCATGTATAAATATGTGAGAGGAAGCCACAGGGAGGAAGGAGCAAGCTTGTTTTCTGCTTCCCTGGAGACTAGGACACAAAACAATGGCTTCAAACTACAAGAGAAGAGTGAAGTCTCGGCCTGTTTATTTCCCAGTTGGATTGTTCCATTTTGCCAAGTTTAGGGGAGAAGCTTAGGTTCCCCCTAGAGTCCGAGCTCAGTTGGTGCAGCCCATTCTGACTCAGAGCCAGAATGGGCTGGTGATAGAACTTATGGCATTCTTTGTTGGTCATAGCTTATAGATAGTTGCCAGATAGTGTCTGGTCTGGCCTAGCAATTTGAACAGGCCATCCTTATCACATATTTGCCATAGAATAGATAATAGATAGATAGTTCATAGATAATACATATTTGCCATATAATAGTTATATTTGCCTATAGATAGATAGTTCATAGACAGTACATATATTTGCCATAGAATAGATAATATTTGCCTTATAGATAGATAGTCCAGATATACATGCCCCATAGATTATAGATTATAGTATATGTAATAAAGAATAGATATAGCCATACATGTGTTAGAGTTTAGAGATTATAGAATATGCCATAGTTAGTAGTTATACTTACCTCATAGAAATTATAGTTTGTTACCTCAGAGTTTATATTTCACTGTTCTAACACCATCATAATCAAACTGTACTTTTATACCTTGATTATTCAGTAAACAATTGTTGAATTTAATCTTGTTTTTAGAGTATTATTTTTGGGGGCATTAAAGTAATTTAGGGCATACTGATGGTCACTGGGAAAATAGCCAGACACATTTAGTTTCTTCCTGGTGTGCCATCATAGAGGAGATTCCATCTGAACACGAGGAAGAACTTTCTGACTGTGAGAGCCGTTCAGCAGTGGAACTCTCTGCTCCAGAGTGTGGTGGAGGCTCCTTCTTTGGAAGCTTTTAAACAGAGGCTGGATGGCCATCTGTCAGGGGTGATTTGAATGCAATATTCCTGCTTCTTGGCAGAATGGGGTTGGACTGGATGGCCCATGAGGTCTCTTCCAACTCTTTGATTCTATGATTCTATATGAAACAGAGGCGGATCTCGAGAAATTCCTAATCAGGGCTTTTGGACTTCAACTCCCAGAATTCCTAAGAGTAGGCCAACCTAGCTGGGGCTTCTGGGAGTTGAAGTCCTACGCAACTGGGAAGCCCCGCCCCCATTGGGGTCAGCGAACGCGCGTTGCTAGAGAGGGAAACGTGAGCTGCGGCACATAGAAAGCTCCAGGATTCCCACTAGTCAACAAACCTTTTCATTGGCTCTGCCCAACGTCCGTCTTCTTTTCGCCCAATCCGACCACACTTTCCGTTAATCGCGTCAGAGAGTAGAGCTGAAGCTATTGGCTCACCCAACTCCGCCTTTGTGGATTCTTCTCCTAGCTACCGCCTACTAATGAGTGACAGCGAAAGCACCCAATCAAAGGGGGGAAAGTGAGTGGCGTCATCGCTTCTCGCCTCCTCTTTAGCAGCGTGCTTGTAGCTTTGGGCTCCTGTCAGCTGCATTTCCAGCAGGGAGCGTTGTTGCATGTTCCGGCCTCTCAAGGTAAATAATGGCTGTATATATTAGTTTATGCATCTAGATTTTGATTAAAGCAGAGTAATGCAATGAAGAAAAATTGAAATTAAAAAGGAGTTTAATTTGGGGTGCATCTACACTGTGGAATTAATGCGGTTTGATACCACTTTACTGCAGAATCACGGGAGATGTAGTTTTACAAGGTCTGTAGCCTTCCCTGCCTAAGAATACTGATGCCTCAACATAATACAACTCCCAGGATTCCCATAGCATTGAGCCAAGGCAGTTAAAGTGGTGTCATACCGCATTAATTCCACAATGTAGATGCACCCTACATATGAAACAACATCTGCCTAAACCTTACCCACAGAGTTCATTTGTGTTGCTTGTTTGGCTCATCTTTTAGTTGATTGCTTTCTTGCAAAAAAGAAATATAATAATATTGAGTGGTGTTAGAAATATAATAATAATACTTTCCTTGCCTGCATTTCCTCAAACCATTAATACATATATATTGAAAGACAGATTTAAACACATGAAAACCGGGTTGTTGTAGTGTTTTTCAGGCTATATGGCCATGTTCTAGAGCAGTGTTTCTCAACCTGGGGGTCGGGACCCCTGAAGGGGTCGTGATGGGGTGTCAAAGGGGTCGCCAAAGACCATCAGAAAACAGTATTTTCTGTTGGCCATGTGGATTCTGTGTGGGAAGTTTGACCCAATTCTATTGTTGGTCGAGTTCAGAATGCTCTTTGATTGAGGTGAACTATAAATCCCAGCAACTACAACTCCCAAATGTCAAGGTCTATTTTTCCCAGACTCCACCAGTGTTCACATTTGCACATATTGAGTATTTGTGCCAAGTTTGGTCCAGATCCATCATTGCATGAATCTACAGTGCTCTCTGGATATAGGTGAACTACAACTCCCAAACTCAAGGTCCATGCCCACAAAACCCTTCCAGTGTTTTCCGTTGGTCATGGGAGTTCTTTGTGCCAAGTTCGGTTTAAATCCATTGCTGGTGGAGTTCAGAAAGCTCTTTGATTGTAGGTGAACTATAAATCCCAACAACTACAACTCCCAAATTACAAAATCAATCCTTCCCCCCACCCCACCCCACTAGCATTCATATTTGGGCATATTGGGTATTTGTGCTCAATTAATCCAGTGAATGAAAATATATCCTGCATATCGGATACTTACATTACGATTTATAACAGTACTAAAATGACAGGTATCAAGTAGCAACGAAAACAATATTTTGGTTGGGGGTCACCACAACATATGCAACTGCATCAAGGGGTCACGGCATTAGCAAGGTTGAGAACCACTGTTCTAGAGGCATTCTCTCCTGACGTTTTGCCTGCATCTCTGGCAAGCATCCTCTGAGGTAGTGAGGTCTGTTGGAACTAGGAAAATTGATTTATATATCTGTGGAATGGCCAGGGTGGGACAAAGGACTCTTGTCTGCTGGAGCTAGGTGTGAATGTTTCAACTGACCACCTTGATTAGCATTTGATTGCCTGGCAGTGCCTGGAGCAATCATTTGTTGAGAGGTGATTAGATGTCCCAAATTGTTTTCCCTTTGCTGTTTTAATTTTAGAGTTTTTTTTAATACTGCTAGCCAGATTTTGTTCATTTTCATGGTTTCCTCCTTTCTGTTGAAATTGTCCACATGCTTGTGGATTTCAATGCCTTCGACAACACATGAAAACCATTCAATTCCCAGGGGCAACCCTGCAGCCATATAAGGCTGTTGATGTGTGGGTTATTTTCCCTTGTGATCTGGGTCAGGATTGGATCTCAGGTGGATTAAATGCACATGTCGTGCTATTTTTGGTTGCGGCATTAAAACAAATCAATACAGGTTGAGTATCCCTTATCCAAAATGCTTGGCACCAGAAATATTTTGCATTTTGGATTTCCCTCCCTGGTTTTGGAATGCTTGCATATATGTAATGAGATATCTTGGAGATGAGACTCAAGCTGAAACATGAATTTCATTTACGTTTCAGGTGTATGTTATGCACATAGCCTGGAGGTAATGTATTAAGTATTTTAAATAATTTTGTGCCTTAGATAAAGCATATTGCACCATCAAAAAGCAAAGGTATCACTCTGTCAGCCACACATGTGGATGATTTTGGAGTATTTTGGAATTCTAGATTATGGGTACCTAACCTATAAGGAAGGTGGTGCAGCAGATTAAACCGCTGAGCTGCTGAACTTTCTGATCGAAACATTGGCAGTTCAAATCCAGGAAGCGGGGTGAGCCCCCCTGTTAGCCCCAGCTTCTGCCAACCTACCTGTTTGAAAACATGCAAATGTGAGTAGATCAATAGGTACCGCTTCTGTGGTAAGGTAACGGCACTCTATGCAGTCATGGTGGCCACATGACCTTGGAGGTGTCTACGGACAATACCAGCTCTTCAGCTTACGTGACTGTGGAGCAGAACAGATAACTCCGCATCTGTACGCTTGTCCACTATGCCCTGCCTCATGTACAGAGGAAGAATTGTTGGAGGCTACAGACAATGCCATTGCTGTTGCCCATTTTTGGTCAAAAGATATTTAGCCACCTGCACTCCTTCTATTTTTATCGGTTTTATACTAATTTATGCGATGCTTTTGATACGAAATAAACAAGCTTAGAAATGGAGGAGAGCACCACCCCCCAGAGTCAGACACAACTAGACTTGTTAGAGGAAACCTTTACCTTTATTAACCTATAGAGATTTTGGAGATCATGAAGAAGTTATTTATATTCTGCCAGAAACAGGAAGAACCTGAGAAATAATACTGATTTTACGACAGGCGTTTGTATATCTGATTTGTTTGAGAGCACAGTACTTCATACAGAGAGCATTTTTACAAGTGTGTGCAATTTTTAATCAGCTGCTTGCAGTAGCTGGATCCACAGTCAGCTGCTAGATGTATAATTAGTATTTTGTAGTTAACTACAAATTAAATTTTCTGCTTAATAGCTTGGAGATAGGATGACATTTCTTCCTCACTCCCATCCATTAATTCATCTTACCTGTACTGTTTGATATGTGTCTTCAAAGCATTTCTGAGTTCTGGCATCCCAAGGTGAACCTGTGTTGGGGTTTACTTGGCAAGATTTGTTCAAAGGGGCTTTGTCTTCACCTTCCTCTGAGGCTGAGAGTGTGTGACTTGCCCAAGTTTTCTATGACAGAGTGGGGATTTGAATCTTGGTGTCCTGAGTCATACAGACTCATGGTCCAACATGTTAAACTACTTTTACTGCAGTGTAGGACAGTATTATAATTCCTATATTGCCGAAGGCTTTAATGGCCGGAATCACTAGATTGTTGTAAGATTTTCGGGCTGCATGGCCATCTTCCCAAAGCATTCTCTCCTGACATTTCACCTGCATCTATGACAGGCATCCTCAGAGATTGTGAGGTCTCACAACTTCTGAAGATGCCTGCCATAGATGCAGGCGAAATGTCAGGAGAGAATGCTTCGGGAACATGGCCATACATCCTGAAAAATGTACAACAACCCATTATTATTCCTGTTTGTTGAGAGACTGAGTCCTGGGGTCATTCACTTGCATGCTGTTTTCTTTGCATGTAGAGTAATGATAAGTAAGATAAATTACAAAATAGTGAGATATTACCCATAGAACCTACACATGATTAAGGACACTTCTGATATATATTTTAGCTGATTATATGAGTTGATTTTAGTTGATTATATAGAACTATGTTTGCTAGTGGTGAACAATGTTTCTGAAGGAAGAAGGACTTTGTTTTTAAATTATGAACATGTATGTTGCAGCACATTTCCTACAATCTGGTGGTCATATAAACATAAATTATAAAAAATTCAGCTACATTTAAAAAATTGGTCAAACTTTTAAAATAACCCTTTAATTGAGCAGTTAATTGTTCGTGTGTTGTAGCAATGAATAATAGTAGTGTTGAGACCTGTTATTTGGTAATCTTATCATTACAGTGGTAATTTGAAATGGCACAATTGTTGTTTCTAAATATGTAAACATACTTGTGCAGTGGGAATAGAGTAGAATGGATGGAAATTCAGTCTTAAAAATCTCATTATTCCTGGCCACATAACTTGCAGGTTGAAAGGATTTTCGTTGGATGGAGTTGGAATTGTCCTCCCCCCAATTTACTATGGAAATTTTTGTTATATTGATTAATGACTAATAATGGGAGCATAAGCATGTTCATTGAGAACTGAGTAACTTAACAGTGGTGTATAGTGCTTAAGGGCAAACCCAAAAGATTGGGAAAGGAGTAGCAAAACCAACATATTAACCAAAGAGAAGCTTCAAAAGAGACTTGATCAAAGGGAAGTCAGTAAGTTAATTCTCAAGGGGAGAACTTTAAGTGCAGAGTTCCTTTTCAGAATGGTAATTGAGATCCTGACAATATATTTATTGACGTGAGAGACGAGCGGATGCCATGAAGTGTAAGTGTTCTTGGTCTTAGCCAGATTCTGTGTGAGCTTTTCAAGAAGGTTGCTCACCAGAGTTATCCATGGCTGTAGTATCTACTACACAGTTACCACCAGCAAAGTAATTGCATCTTGACTTTTTTTGTGTCAGGAGCAATCTGAGAAACTACAAGTCGTTTCTGGTTTTGAGAGAATTGGCTGGCTGTAAGGTCGTTGCCCAGGAGATGCCTCGATGTTTTACCATCCTGTGTGAGACTTCTCTCATGTCCCCACATGAAAAGCTGGAGCTGACAGATGGGAGCTCACCCCACTCCCTGATTCGAACTTCTTACCTTTCATTCAGCAGCCTGCCGGCACAAGGGTTAAACAACAGCAGTTTAACGATAATACCCACCTTGAGTCACCTTAGGGCTGAGAAAGGTGGGCTAGAAATACTGTAAATAAATCAATCAACCCATTGCGCCACTGGGGGCTCTATAAATCTTGATTTCATTAGTAGAAATCTGTGCCTTCAAGTTGTTTCTAAGTTATGGCAACCTTATCCTAGTGTCTTTTTGGAAATATTTGTTCAGATGAGGGTTGCCGTT